GACACAAGTATACTCAAAGGACTGGAAAGGACTGGAAGGTCAAAGATCTTCTGGTACACAACTAAAATACATCATTACTGGTAAATCAAATTGCATCACTACTCACTAAGAAAACTTAAATTTACTTGAATCAGAGCTTGTTTACAGTATTGTGTTGTTTAATTGTGATCACACCACTGAAAACTTCAGCAAAAGAAGTATCCCTTTGGAACTGCACAATGCATTGCCACAGAATGTGCTTTTGAACCCAAAAAGTAACCAAAGCCCAGGAAAGCCCCAGTCTCACAGCAAGACTGAGCAATGAAAAAAGCAGGTTTTCACATTTTCAAGCTCTACCCTTCTGATTCTCTCCCTGATCCCGCTGTTGAGTGAGCTGAGTGGGTCTTGGTTGCTGGCTGGGGTGAAACCACGACACACAGGGAGTAAAGATTCCTATACAGTCTCTGTGAGCCTCAGACTAGAAAAACGGAAAAATTATCTGGAAGATACTGAAGCCATGAAGTGGTACATTGGGCTTGGGTTTGATCCAATTGACCCTGGTTTATCAGCAGTGTTTTTCACTTATTTTCACAATTTACTCTTTAATTGCACTGGCATCAGAATTCAGAATCCCTGTGCAGAACCAAAGAAGGACACATTTCTCTCTTAATATGCCATTGAGCTGTTTACCACATCAAAGTAGATCTGATAACCTAAGAACTGAAAATGGAGCACTTTAAGAAAAAATATACTGTGTCTTTGGCCTTACATTCTGGACTAAACTCAGGTAAAATTCCTTATGAAAACCAGTAGGGATCCTGCCCTCAAGGGGACTGTTATGCAAGGCTTCAATTATCAAAGCATTAAGAGCTAATTCTACAGGGAAACAATCACTCTGTAGAGGCAGCCAATAATTTAGTTATGGGAAATGTATATTACAGATATGGGTTAACACTCATTCACTGTATTTGGAATGTGAAAGAATATTTTAAATATTAATTCAAAATTACAACCAAAAAACTTAGCAGTTAAAAAAATGACACCCTAGGACATACTCAGGGTTGTGATTAAAAATTGTAGAATTACTCCCAGTGATTGACAGCAATGATTTTTGTCTCTCCTCCTGTTCAAAGGTTTTTGATGATAGAGTAACAGTGCTCAAGATTTGCTTATTTGCTGTGTATATGCTATTCAAGTAATGTTTTTCTCAAGTGAGGGATAGAAAACTTAATTTTATATATGCTTGAGGTATCAAATAAAAAAATAATATGGAACATAAAACATAAGAACTGAGAAGAAGATAAATACAATTTTGGTAACCAGCAACAAAAAATATTTACTACATTAGAGTTCCAAAGATATTCAAGATCAGAAAACTATCAAAGGTAATTGAGGAAATCTCACAACTCAAAGCATTAGAAAAAGCTGTACATTAAAATATATTAAATCAAAAATCCTAATCCCATAAAATGCATTCAATCAAACAAATGGCACACTTTTATGGAAACCTTATCTACTGCAAGAATGTAATTTAGCAAAGTTTAACATTCCTGCAGGCTGTACTTCTGCTCCAATTCTCTTCTAAGACTGTGGGAGCCTCAGGCACTATAAAAATAACAAAGAAATTACTAAACAGCAGAAATCGTGTTAGAACAAACTTCCTATATTTTATCACATTGTTACTAATATGCAAAAAAAATTTAATGTTACAGGCACACATTTTATGTGTAAGTCTGGTAGAATGTTTCAGATTGATATTATATTCAGTTGTCACTCATTCTATCAGAAGACAGAGTGATTCCCAGCTGTGCAATTACTAGGAAATTTTGCAGGCTCAAGACTCATCATACAGAATAACAAATATCTCCTTTCTGAATAACTAAGATAATTCTCAAAATATGTTTCAGAAGAAACCTCTTCACTCAAGAAGTTTTTCAGGGTAAACAGCAAAGGCACAACAGATATTAACTGCTGTCTCCCAACACTTGTTCCCACAGCTTCCTTCTCTGCCCTTGTGAAGAGCAGCTGTGGAAGAACAACATGTCCCTGCTCACCAGATCTGCTCCCACCATGCCTTTGATTGCCTCTGCTTAATTGCATGACTACAATAAACTTCCATTGCTTTCTACTTTCTTTTAACACCAGCACAGAAACAGTAGACTGAGGAGCACTCATTTTTATTATACATAGAGAGCACTGCTTATCAAATGCTGCACAGTAACACTTACACAGGCCCACAGCCAGCAACAGAGATAATCAGTCACCCAGAAGTCAGTAACTGAAGAGGACTGAGTTTCTGAGGTATTGGTGATGGTATAATTTGATCAACACAATTTTTCTTTGAGTGATGTGTCTGAAAAAGAAAAATACTCCTATTTGACTTTCTGTGTTGAATTTGCAAGGCTTAGTAACAAGAACAGAACCAATGACTCAACAACTTGATCATTGTGAAACAACCACATAAACCACCATATTTCATACCATAACATAACATGTAGAGCTACAATTTATCTGTGAGACAATTCTCCATTCACATCAGCTGTTAACCAACTCCTGTCAAGCAGTACTTTGGAGTGGTGCCAGCTAGACATTTTTAATGTTTCAAGTTTATTTAACACAGTAGCCAGCATTTGCAATTATGTGGGCTTTTTTGGTTTTTTGTTTGTTTGGTTGGTTGGTTGGTTTTTTTACAATCATAAGTCTGCACAATGCAACAGTATAGATTGAATTGGTACTTTTGTGTTGCATTCATCCAAATGGATTTGGTAACTGCTTCTTCACAGAACACTCTGACTGTAGATCTTCTGATCTACAGACAGGAATATGAATAAACATCCCTATTTTGTTGAGGTTCTGTGATCTCATTTGAATGACCAATGCTTGCTGAACAAATTCCTTAATACTGCTTCCAGGTATAACTAAAGACAAAGACATTTCAATACAAGCCTGAAAAAACAAATATTTTAATTCAATCAGATGACAAATTGGTTCATGGAAATACCACTTGCAATTCAATAATGACATTTTTAGGTTGCTATATTATATAAAGAACATTTATAGAGCTGTTAAAATTAGAAATCACATATGCAAAATGCATTTTTCATTCCTAACTCTAGTGCTACAAGGATTTCCCTGCAGAATGAAAGTGCAAGCTTGGCATTGTAAAAGTCTGCAACGTTTTAGAGACAGCATTTAAGACTTTCAAATCTGCATACACAAACTTTATTAAGAAATAACTTGGTTGTATACCGCCTATTTTGACCCTATTGTGATGACTCACATTTCATGAATGTAAAACTAGATCCAAGCATTTTTTTTTTAAATACATAGATCTTACTCATCACTTGGCAAAGTTAAGACTTTTCCTAGAGCAATAGCTAGAGTCCATGTCAGCTTGCATCTACCCAGATGTGTTAAGATAAAAATGTACTACATAATGTGCAAACTGTAAATAATGTTATATTTATTTCTTGTTTTCTGCTTTCACAAATTTCTGACATACTGTAATAGTGGAAGTGCACAAAAGTAATTTTAACAAAGGTACAAATTCTGTATTGAACTCTATAAAAAATTAGCATAGCCTGATGATGACACCATCTATAATGAAAAAAAAATAATTGTAATCCTGATCTGTGTCACTGCTTTTGCCTGGAAGACCATGCTTAGATACAAACTACTTCCCTCCAAAATTATGAATTAATATTAATAAAGTACACTTGAGTAATATACAATGCACATTTATGAAATATTCCTATAGTAATTTCAATTTAGTGTTACAGTAAAAAACAGATTGGAGGAAAGGACTATCAGTACATGATATTCAAGTCACAAGAAGGTCTTATAATCATTGACAATAGAGAGATTATCCTAACTCTAAACCTACTTTCTGTTTAGCACAGGTTGACTGTTGACATAACTGTAATGAACTGGGCCAGTGCTGTTGAAAGCAAAGTAAATTCAGAAAATGGAAGAAGAAATTCAAGTCCCTAATATTGTGTAATATGCTGCACATTTCTCCATAAAAATGCTCATATATACTGAAAATATGTTGTCATTCATGGCTTCTTATTTATCAAAATAAAAAGGTAATTTAGAAGATTTAGTATAATAAGGGATTGTACAATATATTCTGACAATGTCAAGTTCTGTATTCATTAAATGAACTGTAGTAATCTTTGGGAAAAATCTGAGTTGCACTGAGAATTGCAGAGGTGAGTAAATTAATAGCCTTCTCTAAAGACTTGATTTAAATCAGTCCTCAGACAACATGCCAAATGATTGAGTAGAAATGAATGGAGGCTTAGGTGTACTGAATCTGCTGAGAGTGTATCGCAGAATATTAAAAACACTTCCGCTGAAAGCCTTTGCCTACTTTAATATATGTTAACTGGCCACAATTTGACTTAATCAACTTTGGCTTTTGGTTGGCAAGACCTGTACTATTCTATTATCTAGTATGTTGACAGGGTCCTCCTTTCTACCCTTTTTAAAGATGAGTACAATGTTTCCCTTTTTCCAGTCATCTGGGACTTCACCTGACTGCCATGACTTATCAAATATCATGGAGAGTGGCTTGGCAACCACAGCAGCAAATTCCCTCAGGATGCTGGGATGCATCACATCAGGTCCCGTAGAGTTATGTACATTCAGGTTCCTCAGATGGTCATGAACCTGAGACACAGATTAATAATTGTTGGGTTGAAACCACTTCGGGAGTGTGTGCGTGTGTGTGTGTGTGTGTGCAGGTGGAAGGGATGGGTCGAACCTCACGGAGGTGAAGTGTCATTATAGCCCTCATGACAGGCCTCTGAAGCCCACATGGGGAAGCCCCGGAATACCTGTCAGTCACAAACAGCCTGGGAAAACTATAACACACCTGCTGGAGTGCCTAAGCCAGGCTCAGATTGACAGGGACAGTGAGGACACTGCCTCCACCCTAGCCTGGAACCCTAGAGTGGCCAGTGGGTCAGAGGCGCTGCCTGGGGGGTTGCCATAGGGACCAGAGCAGATAAAACCAAGGACATATGTTTGCCACACGTCACAGCCCTGCCATGAGGATGTGTGAGAGCTTCCACAAGGTTCCAATGGTAGCTATATAATCTGTCTCTCCCTCTTTCTCCTTCTCTCTTCTTGCTCCCTCTGATTCTCTTTCTTTGCTCCTTTCTTGGTGCTTTGGGTGGCTTGGAGCTGGCGAGGTTGGATTTTAACTTAAGTGTTGTGGGTTAGTATGTGTTGGGTTGGTATTGTGGTGGAACGTTTTGTCTAGCTTGTGTGGTGCCCTTTTGAACTTTTGCCAAGTTCCCTTATTTTCTTCCCTATATTATCAATAAAAATACCTCTTGGGAACAAGTCTGCGGCTTATTCTCTTGACACTATCTCGAGGTATTGAAGAACTCAATACATATATTTTAAAGTAAAACTCCTGACTGAGCCTGTGAGCTTGCAGCTCTGGGGCCAGAGTGTTACAGGTAAGCACTTTGCTTCCCCGTTTCTTGTCCTGCTGTCCATCTACTAGAGAGGTGTGGGAAGAGAAGATGACACTAAAGACTGAGGCAATGAAGTTGTTGAGTACCTCAGCCTTCTCCTAATCATTTTTATCAGTTTTCTAGAGTTGTTTATAGGGCTGGGGGGGAAGGGAGGGGGAAGACACATCTTTGATCTTCGTTTTCTCATTAACATACCTGTAGAAGCCCTTCCTGTTACTCTTTGCATCCCTTGCCAAGTTCAGTTCCATTTTTGCCTTACCCTTCCTCACACCATCCCATACTTCCCTACACATGGTTGTGCTCACTGGTTCCTATCAAGGAGAATCACAAATTCTTCAAAGTGCCAATGCTGGCTATCCTAACTGGTTCAGGGAATTATGCTCTTGAAAAGTGTTTTAGCTACAAGTGCAATTCCTTCTGACAACTTCTAGTACAGTTTTGACACAGAATGCCACATTTCCTATCACTGAAGGTTCAAGTGGTGCTCTACAATCTGAGTACATTTTACCAAGACTTTGGTATCCTCTGAGATGAAAATTTGTAGATTAACCTACAAGCAGAATGTACATATTTTCACTCACACTCCAAACTGTGCTGGCATTTCTAAGTAGTGAGCTTATTAATTTCAATAACATGCTGTCCCCCATAAGATTCTGCTGGAAGAATGGAACACTACAATCCTACTATAATCAGTTTCCATCACACTTCATTGCCAGTTTCAAGACACAGAGTTATCTCAATGGTAAAAACCATGGTTATAGGTTATTTCTGTGCACTCTAAGTCCAGGACGCCTGTAGTGTCTATATAAATCCAGCCTACACCACCACATATTATTTATTCCTACAAAGAGAAAGAAGATACCTACTTTGTCCTCATACTCTTGTAAAAATGTTTTTTATTATTTAATTTATTATTATTATTTAGATAGGCTTCTCAAAGATCTTGTATCAAAAACGCAGATCAAAGATCTTGAGCGTTATCAAAATCGATCAGTAATTTATTTCATTCTGCATATAAAACTGAGTCCTTTGGAGACACCAACAGAAGACTGCCATAATTTATGCATGCAGAAGAATGAGAAGTGGGGAAAGAACTGTTCTATGGAAATTCATGTATAACAGTTGAGATACAGTAATTATCTTTGGTTTGCAGAGAAAATTTGATTCTGTGCATAACTTTCACCTTTTACATATTCATTAAGCTGTTTCTATTAACTGTTGTTTTAAAATGAGCCCAGGCTAATTTTGCTGATAAAAAAATGATTACTGGCTCTCATTATTGTTTAATGTGGTTGGCTAATTACTTATTATTTAGAATGAAAACGCTACTACTAATATTCTGTTATTAGCCAGCATTCTTGACTAGGCTTTTGGGAAGAAATCTGTTTATGTATGTACTTGCTTAGTCTTTTTCCCCTTATTAAATATTTTCAGCTACAGAAATTTATGCTTATGTGGTGTGCCTCATGGTAATACTGGAAGTCTCCTGTATCTACATGCGCTGTATGGACTGTATGTGAACAGTTTGTCAGTACAGATTCCTGACAGGTAAATGACAAGAAGTTTTTTCCCAGAAACAAGGTCCATTATAGTGGACTCAAGAAGTGAAACAACTTCTTGTAATTGGTGGGATGATTCAGCTCATTTTTATCCCAGCTCCTGCAAGCTGAAGTCTGGTAGAGGTCTACCTCAGAGAAAGCTGACTAAAGGGAAATCAGCAGTGCCTTCCATCTGTGAGTCAAAATTATTCTGAAAATGGACTGTGGAATTAGGGGCGGAAATAGGCAAAATGGCCCATTTAATTTTTCTAACCATTATTTTTCAGCTGGTTTCTTATGCTCTTACGGAAAATTAAATGACATCATGTTTGGATCAGCAAACAGGATTTTGAAGGATCATTCACATCGTCTTTTGTCATGTGTAATGGATTTAACATTTCCCCTGTAAACATCATTGACTTATTTCTGTGTAATAGGCATTTATAAGATGATTTTTCAATGGAAAAATAAATCAAATATTACATCACTCTTAAATACAACATATATGTACAACAGTTGGTTGTTTAAAATTTAACTGTATGTACTTTTTAGAGTGGAGTGTTAACATGTTGGATATGAAAGAGCAATAATAACATTACCTTCTGAGAAGAATGCATTTAAAAATAATTTGTCGTTTTGAGAAAATATAGTTACTTGCACAGTCAGTGAATACAAGACAATCTGGACCTTATACAGATAATGGTCTATGTTATTTTTGTTTTGATCTGTTTTATAATTGAATGTTTGTTTTCCATGAGTTCAAAATAACCATGGGCATCTTTGGAGACTCAAAACCTATTATTATTAACTAGTAAAAGTATTAACATGTTATTCACATAAATATTGTTTGAAAAGGGATTTCTATATAACTAATCCATGTCTAATCTTTTTGCAGCCTTTATTACTACAATGAAGACTATCTTCCTCCCTCGTATTTTAGAAACAATCTGATAGCAAAGAGGTTGTACACGCACAAGAAAAATTATTTTGCTTAAAGTATTACAGAAATTTTAATAGATCCACAGCAATGATTTGGCCAACATAATTATTTTCAGGCTTGAAGCAAACTTCAGTTCCAAATACTAACAAACTCCAGGTGAGTGGAGGTTCAGACTCATGCTTTAACAAGAAAAAAACCCACAATCCATCCAAACAAATGGAAAGTTCAGTTTTACTATCACACTGAGACTTGCTTTCTTGAATGTGTATGTTAGCTTACATAAGTGAACTGCAAAATTTTGCCAATGGCCGCACATTTCCTAGACAGAATTAGGTAGCTAATAATATAGTAGATTTCTTCCTTCAGCTCCTTAACCTTTACAAGGTTGTTGAATTTTGAATTCAACAAGACTTGCCAATGAATAGATAACCTATTTTTTAACTGTGAACTCTTTTGGACTTTAACTATTCCACAGAAACTTGACTGGGATCAGCAGAAAATGTACTAACTTTTATACTGCACCTAATTTTCAAGCAGATATGTAATGCAATCAAGTTTCTCCTGCTAGACATTTTGTCTATGTTCACCTGTGCTCATCTGAATAAATATATATTAGATATTAAAATAATTAAATAAATTAATAATGACATTATTGTATGATATATAATAAGTGTGTATGTCTTTTTAGAGTGGAGTGTTAAGATATTACATATGAAAGAGCAATAATGCAGATATCTTCTGTGAAGAATACCTTTAAAATTAATTTGCGGTTTTGAGAAAATAGTTACATGCACAGTTGGTGAAGCAAAAGCATTCAGATCATATAAAGACAATGGTTTAATTATATAATGATATAATATAGTATATAAGTATAAAGTATAACTATATAATAATTATATTAATTTCTAATTAATTGAAACAGGCATTAAAATTAATTATTTTCCTTTTAAAGTAAGAGCTCAGTGCTAAGCTCCTAAGTATAGGTTTAGAAAAACAAATTACATCATAGGGTTTTAAAAAATAAGAAATAATCAAGTTTGCACTTCCTTACTGCCAGCGCTTTGTAATATTTCACTTGCATGCTGATTTAGAAATGAAGATCCTGCAAAACTTAGGGATGGTTAGAATGACTGTATTTGCCTGGAAGTTATCTTTTTAAACAATAGTCTTGAGAGTCCTTCTGTAACACCAAAATAAACACAAGCACTTTGAAAACTCACCATAAATTATGTATGTGTCTCAGATAGGTGTTAAGCAGTCAACCAATTTGTTTAATTGAAAAACAAACAAAAGCTAGTGAATGCCATTTAAAAAGTTCCTGCTTAATATAAAAATAAATGATGTTAATGGGAGTAAATATGCTTATAGCATAGCAACTGAGGCTAATGTTCCTCAACATCTCTCTACTGACAGATCTCTTTGGGTTTTGATACTAGCTAGGTTTTCAAGCTGAGAAAGGTAACTTTAACTGTGGTTCCTGATTTGCTACGTGCTTTGCTTCTCATGAATTATCCACAATTGCTCCTGCTCCTTGGTCTATCTTTAAAAATATGCTATTATAAATCAGTACTTAGCCATGTAATGAACAACCATCTGTGAATTTCTGTAAACTACATACAGGATAAGCTAAAAAACATAATTTGATCAAAAAGTCACTCCAGATTAAAAATATTTTTTTTCCTTCTGCAATGGTAAATTATTCAGATTTGGTTTTATGTTTAAAGTTTCAGAATAGAAGTTTTTCAGCATAAATTTTATCTCCTAAGTTCAGACAGAATATGAACTCACAGTAGCACCAAAAACAGATTTAAGTATTAATTTTGCTAGCAAAATGGACTGTGCTTCATAGATGTAACATCACTTGGCTCTATAAATTCACAAAATCTGTGTGACACCTCTCAATTGTAAGAATCCATTACTTAATGACATATAACGAACACATGGAAGATCTTGCTACAGTTACAGAGTCTGTGAAAACATTAAAAATTGACTTATTTATTTTCACTCAAACCACTGTATCTTCACACCACTCAAGCCTTTTGGGAACCATCTATGACTCCCTTCCTACTAAATCATGTTCCTAAATTGTCTGGGAAAACATGAGCTAGCTCAGGCTTAAGACATGCCAGAGACTTTCCATGTTGTGTAACTATGTAGGCAATAGTGCTCCAGATAATCAAGAGGTATGTTGGATCTGTGAGCAGAGATGCAGCTCTTTTGTTTCTGCATAGGTCTTTCAGCCACACACTGTTAGTTCATGCTGACAGTTGGTATTGTTACAATAGTGGAATCCTATGAATGACCAGTTCCTAGATTTCATTATATTAATTAAAAAAACCTTACATGTTACTACCAATACATTAGTGAGTATAGGTATGGGTATTAGTTGGCCTCACCAAGGGCAAGATTATTTACAAGGGCAAGTAGTGACAGGACAAGGGAGAATGGGTTTAAATTGAAAGAGAGTAGGTTTCGACCAGATATTAGGGAAAATTCTTTTCTGTGAGGGTGATGGGTCATTGTAACACATTGCCCAGGGAAGTTGTGGATGCCCCATTCCTGGAGGGCATGGGGCCCCAGAGATGGGGCTCTGAGCAACCTGGCCTAGTTGAAAGTGTCACTGCCCGTGGCAGGGGGGTGGACTAGATGATCTTCAAGGTCCCCTTCTAACCCAAACCATCAAATGATTCTATAATTTGATAATATAACAGTTGTTTTATGTTCTTAATACCATCTCCATCTGGCCTAAACAATGTGACTTTTGCGGTGGAGGATTTGGACCTTGTTAATGAAATTTACATTGTCCTCAACTCAAGATTGAATTGCTGCAATAAAATTGACAGGAATAAAATCTTCAATTAGTTTGTAAACTGAAGCCAATGTTCAGTGTAACACCCATTTACTAATTAGCATTTCATAATGTGCAGTGCTTGAAGATTTATGCTGAATTGAGCTGAGGGTAATTAAAATATAAGTACATAGGGCAACAATAGTAAACCAATTGTTTATGGACTTAAGTCAGCATATTGTATTTTCCTCTAATTGATTCAATTAATCTTCAGCATTGCTTTTTCTTCTAATGTTGAGCTGGGAAAGCTCATCTTTTTCCTACAGCAGGACAGCTCATCTCTGGCTCAACCTCCCCTCAAATACGAGATGAAAGTCAAAACTAAGTGGAAGCACTGCATTAGGAAGCAGGAGGTAAATAGCTCATCTGTCACAAATGTGTGCCTTGAGTGCATGACACTCAGTAGTGTTTGGGAAACATGACACATAAAAGGTTTGTCCTGACAGCCACGAAGTATGAAGTTGCTTGAGAGTTACCTACGTGAACATAGTCCCTGCGCTGGCTTTACATTGACATTGCTGTGTTAAAGGCAGTGTTATCTGTTGACTCAATATATAGAAAATTACCCAGTAGTCTGAAGCCTCAACTCACAATTCTTTGTGGGGAGGGGAGAGAGTGTGTGTGTGCAGACTCTGAGAATTCTAGATCCATAGAACATACAAGCAATCCTTGTAGTGAGCAGTTGAAGATAGAATATGTTGTTACAATACAATTGTTAAAAAAGATCAGTTGCAAGAGAAAACTTCAGGAAAATCTATTATAAACTGGTTGTGATATTATATAAGGGAAGGAATTCAACTTGGGTTCCATAAAGGCCTAGAACCCTACCTCAAGCATCCAGAAATTATGGCAAGAAATTGATTAATTTCAGGAAAATTAGGATTGCTGTAGAGTATTTGCAGGAAAATGGACACATTATGAACAATCCATATTTTTAAGAAGCACTAGGCCTTGCTTGACATAACTTTGGAGGTTGCAAGCTGTGTGAAAACTCTGTGTTTATACTTACAAACTGTGTGAAACTATGTGAGTTTATAGTTGTTAGCTGTGTGAATACTGTATGTTTATAGTTATAAGGTATGAGAAAATCGTGTGTTTATAGTTGAAAGTTTTGGGAAACTTGAAAGTTTTGGAGATAAATGGACACCTGGAAAATCTTGGGAAAGTCCCTAAGGGCGGATTGATAGGAGGGACTTTGCGTGGCATGAATGATGTCAGGCCACGTGGACAGAGCCTTGGAACCAATGAACTGAGGGCATGAGACGTGTGCACAGACTGAGCTATCCAATCACCTTGTTGTAATCACGTACCCGGAAAAAACTAAATTGTATAGAAGTTAACTCATTTAAATAATAAATTGAATAACGCCTGATCATATTGATCATCTGCATGTGTTTCCTGAACTCCTGCCGCCCATAGATTGCTCTTGGGCGTACAGTAGCATGGACTAGTCCCTTACCTAATTGTTGGGATGCAGTAAGGCTACTATCAGGGTATAGCTTTCTGCTTCACTTAATTCAAAAGGCATTAAATGTGTGCTATAGAATGGTTTCATGATGTTAACCAGCATGTAGGAACTTCACTTTGAAAGTATATGTGGGATCAGTACTATACTTGTACAGATGCATCTGATGTCTTAGGCAGTTGTCCTTTTAACTGAAATGAGATAAATGATGCTTTTGAGGTACATCAGGTCAACTAACATGAAAGCTCCCTAATGAGGAACATACAATGTGCCTTCATTAAAAGCACAACTTTGCTGGCACAGTGTCACTAGATGAATGCAGTTTTGAGAAGAATCTCCATGGGACAGTTGTACAACCCTATTTCATACCATGCAAGCAATTTAGGACCAGATACATCAGCAACACACTCCAGCTGTTTTGCAATATTCCCACAGCACAAAGAGGCCGTAAAACCAATTTAACTAGTCTGTTGAGTCAGGTTCATGGCTGCTTTGTGCCAACATGCTAGCAAAAATCTGCTGAATTGTACTGGTGAACTTGTCCTGCATTCTGTCTTCAAAATGATAGAAAACCTTAAATAGTCTCATCTGAAGTGGTATATTATCACATATGCCAACATAACAATCCACCGGAAATCTTGTTGCAAAGTGGAAACACAAATAAAAGGAAATTACTCATTCAGTACAAAGAATGAAAATACCTTACAAAAAATGGGGTTCATTCTCTGTTTCCAGTTCAACAAGAGAGAGAACATTCCCACCTCCCACAAAGGCATGTAGAGCCAGTAGCAGTTAAGACAGGCTTTCTCCGTTCCACCAGGAAGCATTTTCTGAAGC